GCAGGCGCGTGCCTTGTGGAACGGCAAGCTCGGCTTCGTGCCGGCTGCAACCGGCGTGCCCCTGCAGGGAAGGCTGTTCTGGGAAATCCTGCGGGTGGGCCTGATCGCCTCCTTCTCCGCCTTCACGGCCAACCTCACCGCCATGCTCGTCACCGGGCTGGTCGGCCGCTTCGGCGTGGCCGCGCTCGCGGGCTACGGCATCGGCGTGCGGCTGGAGTTCATGCTGGTGCCGCTGGCCTTCGGCATCGGCTCAGGCCTCACGACGATCGTGGGCGTGGCCGCCGGCGCCAATGACTGGCGCCGCGCTGTCCGCGCCGCCTGGATCGGCAGCCTGGTCGCAGGCCTTGGGATCGGCGCCTTCGGCTGGGTCGTGGCGCTGTTCCCGGAAGGCTGGGCTCGTCTGTTCACCGACGATCCCGATGTGGTGGCCGCCACCGTGGCCTACGTAACGCGCGTGGCGCCCTTCTACTTCGTGTTCGGTATCGGCATGACGCTTTCCTTTGCCAGCCAGGGCGCGGGTCGCATGAAGGCGCCGTTCGCCGCCGGCGTGACGCGCCTGTTCGTGGCGTCGCTGGGCGGCTGGTTCGCGATCGAGCATCTCGGCTGGGGCCTGCCCGGCGTGTTCGTCGCCATCGCCGTGGGCATCGTCACCTTCGGAACCTTGATCGCGGGGCCGTTGCTCGTGCATCCTTGGCGCGCGCGGGCGTGACGACGGCATGATAGGCTCGCTTCCTGCACACGGAGGAAGCGATGCAACGCCCTTCCATCATCCGAACCTGGAACCGCAACGACGCCGACGAAGAGGCGATGGGCGCGGCGCATGCGCCGATCTGGCGACGCATGATCGATGTCGGGGTACATGAGGATCTGCGCCAATCGACCGTGCTCGACTACGGCTGCAACCAGGGCGGCTTCCTGCGGATGCTGCACGACCGCCATCCGTTCAAATCCGCCGTCGGCATCGACATCGCCCGCGAGTCGGTGGCCCGCGCCGACCTGCTGAAAGGCCCGCGGCCCATCGACTACAAGGTGAGCGACAGCGCCGCCGTCCTCGGCATCACCTTCGATTTCGCCTTCAGCCACGAAGTGCTCTACCTGCTGCCCGATCTCGCGGCCCATGCGAACGACATGAAGGCGGCATTGAAGCCCGGCGGCGCCTATGTCGCCGCGATGGGCTGTCACAAGGACAGCGCCGTCTGGCCACGCTGGCGCAAGGTGATCGCCGAAACCTCGTCGATCCCGCTCTACGACCATTCGCTCGACGCCGTGGCCAGGGCCTTCAGCGAGGCCGGCTTCCATGTCGGTGTCCGCCCGCTCGACCTTGACGCCTTCATGCCGGTGACGGTGGGCAGCGAATATTTTCCCAAGGTCGTCGACCAGTTGCGCTACTACAGCCAGGACAAGGTTCTGTTCCGCTTCGTGCGCGCTCCTTAAGAGGTCTCCTCATGGCAATGCCGGCCCTGCCGTTCGTCACCGCCTTCTATGCCGCGCTGACCGGCATCCTCTGCGTGATCCTGTCAGCAATGGTGATCCGCCAACGCTTCCGGCGG